CTGTCAAATAAATAAATAAAATCTTTAAAAAAAATAAAATAAAATAAATTTTAAAAAAAGAAAAGAAATTCAAGGGAAAATGTGTAAAATTAGAAGCAGACATGATTGATAATACTCCTTCGTTCTAACAGGTGCTTTTTCATGAAAGCATAGGACTTCAAAATCTACAAGGAATGTACAGCTACCTGGGAATGTTGAAATATGGCTAACATCTAAATAAAGACCACCAGAGCCAGCAGCAGAAGATTCTGTCTGGGCCTTGTGGCCCACACGCCTCCTCCAGCAGCCAGGAGGCCTGAGCGCACCTCCCAATTAGAATACACTTGTGACATTGGTGCTCCATGAGCAGAATTAATACAACTTCTCAGAAAATTCTCAAACAAACCAGTAAGGTGACTTTAAAATTGGTAGTATTTCTTGATGAAGCCCATTCAAACAATTAAGGAGTTAAAAATAGGCCTAGGTTAGAGTAAACTGGATAGTAAAAGCAGCTAATAACATCTGATCATTAAATTCTCTGACCCCGTTCAATCAAAAATACCTACTTACCAAGTAAACTTGCCACAATGGAGACTAGCCCTGTTCCAGCTCCAATTTCAATCACATTTTTGTCAACCATATTATAGTGCTTCACATTTGTTTCCAGAAAATAGCATAGAACGAGGGCCTATGAAAGTTTTTAAAAAAGAAAAAAGTAGTGCTTGGCAAGTAATAACAGAAAGTAAAATAAAAGTCTATTATATAAATATACTATATACACTAATGCTATGATGCATGGACACATGTGAATGTATGTGTGAATATGTTCACACCACTACAGAAAATTATCAACAGAAGTACATCCTCCAATAGGTTCAACATTTAGACTAGAAAAAGTCCTTGAGGGTTGTTGGGGAGATAAGAGAAATGAAACTATGGAACTCAGTTGCTTAGATATGATTATCTTTAAAGAAAGCAACTTATAGTAATAATAATAATAGTCACTTAAAAGAAGTGTGTGGGATTGGGGCAGACAGTGGAGGGAAGGGGGGGGGTCTGCACCCTTCATGGACAACTGGTAAAGGATTGGTGACCTTGTAGAACATTCTGCATGTTGAGACTGATAGATTTCATTATGATTATTTAACTCAAATGGAGCCAACTGAACGGGAAATAAAAATGTTTGCTATTCTAAACTCCCACAGTCACAAAACACTGAAGGTTTAAACAGCATTCTCTATTAATCCTACAAGTCAAAAATAGAATTAATTGGTGGAAGCATTTTCCCAATCTCGTGATTTCTAAGTTTTAGCATTGTTTGAGGTCACAAAATAGAACTGTGGAACCTATTTTTTCCTTCCAAATAGTACACGATAAGGAACAAAACTGGTTGGAAAACCATTGAAATGTGCAAATTTTGTGTGAAATTATACCGATGGCCAAACAACAGCACCATAACAATCCATGGCTTCAGTAATCCGAATCTCATGACCGACAAAATGAAACCCCTCCCAGGAAGTGGTTGTTATTAGACTTGGAACAAAACATCTTGCCATGATCTCTGCAACCACCTTCTTGTTGTCATCATCTCTCTTCTCTGAAAGGAAAAGAAAAAGTCAATGGTTGTGGTTGTGTTGGTAAGAACCGGGAAAAAGAACCTGATGGAAATGTAGCATTTCTACTCATTCTAAGTTACTTTTGAATATTCATTGACTTTAAGTGCAGTGTAAGAGTAAGGTAAACTATTTTAAAATAACTCATACTATAAGCTAACATTTCATACATCCACAGCCATGTGAAACAAATAATAATTTGTTTCTGCAAAGCCACATGAAACAAATAATAATTGATACACTTTTTAAAAAGCAATATATTTCAAGGGCTACCAATCTATTCATCTAGAACAAGAGAGAAAGATTGGTGATGGAACATAAGATCTTGACTATTCACAATGGCTACATAGTGTAATTTCTGTCAATAATGTATAGTAGTATATCCTTTATGACCTGCCTTTACTTAGGCAAAAGATATTTAATACCATCCAAAAACACACCTTTGTATTATTTTATTATTACTTGTTTTTATACCATTACTTTGGGCAACTCATGGCATCTTAACATCCGCGACATTGGATAAAGTTCATAAGCAACAATACCAATTACTGAGCACATAGTTAACAAGCCAGACCATGTTAAATATATCATATACGATATTTCATGTAATTTCATTTTATTTCATGTAATTTTTGCAATAATTTTGTGAGGTAGGCATTATTATTTGCGCTTTTACAGGCAACAAAACTAAGATTCAGAGAGCCTTATTAACTTGACCAAGTTCATGCAACTTGTAAATGAAGGAGCCAAAATGTGAGTTCTTTTTTTTTTTTTATTGTTCCAAAGCCCCCTCTCTACTCCTAAAAAGCTAGAATGTAATTTAAAAAAACTGGTTGTCTCTAAGAATTTACAAACTAGTTATGGAGCAAGACACACATCTTTCTCTACATCTCTATTTCCTTCTTTGTAAAATGTGAAAGATAGAAGATAGCACCAAAGAGTGCTGGGTGATTTAAACAAGATGCTGTATGTAAAGTGCTTAGCACCTTGGCTATTACATGGAGCTCAATAAATCATTATCATTATTATAACTTATTATATCTTGGTCATGAAACTAAATAATATTAACATGATCACCATATAAACAAAAATATTGGATTGTGAGGTATCAGAACTGAATTAATTGAAAATTCTATACTTACTCATAGAAGCAGAGAGTAGAATGGTGGTTGCCAGGAGCAGGGGTAGGGGAAATGGGGAGATATTGGTCAAAGGGTGCAGTTTCATTTACGCAAGATTAGTAAGTTCTGGAGATCCAATGCATAGCATGGTGACTATAGTTAATAATAATGTATACTTGAAATTGGCTAAGAGAGTAGCTCTTAAGTGTTCTCATCACAAAAACAAGAGAACAGTAACTATGTGAAGTGATGGATATGTCAATTAGCTTGATTGCTGTGTTCATTTCTATATATCTATACATCTATATATATATCAAAACATAATTCACACACCTTAAATATCTACAATTCTTACTAGTCAACTATAACTCTAGAATAAAAGAAAATTCTAGAGTTAAATAAGTAAGGGGGAATGCACTGTGGTGAGGGTCACTAATGAATGGCTTCAGGAAGGAAATGTGGCTTAAGTTTAACCTTTGATCTATGATTTGCATTAATAGAGAAGCTTTGTATTTCTTATACCAATTCTTAAAACCCATTGACTTTTCAAGTCTCCTTTCTATTCTCTGAGTCTGGCTAGAGTCCTGCTAGCCACTTCCCCGACCCAGCACTCAATCCAGGCCTAGTTCTCTTCAGCATAGTTCTTAATGCTTAAAAGAGGAAGTAGGGAAAGGGAGGGGCAGGGAAGAAAGGAGGGGAGGGGAGGGGAGGGGAGGGTGGAAGGAAGGAACATACGGACGCATATACATACAACGGTGGAGTCTTGCCTGATGGGAGTGCATCATGACCTGATGGGCATGATTAACTCACACCTCAGTCCTGAGATCCAAAAATAAGCAAGTAAATAAACAAATAACAAATACAAGTATTTCCAAGAAATTTGGGGGCAATACAAAAATTTCTCATTCTGGTCCTCATAGAAGACAATCTCCTCCTAGAAAACTTATTTCCCAAATCTCAAAAATTAAAAACTTTCACAATTTCCAACACTGCAATTATTCAAAGTTTTAAAACAGATGCATCACTCAAAAATAAAATGTCATAGAATCCTAGAATGTCAGGGCACCTGGGTGGCTCAGTCACTAAGCGTCTGCCTTCAGCTCAGGTCATGATCCCAGGGTCCTGGGATCAAGCCCCACATCAGGCTCCTTGCTCAGCGGGAAGCCTGCTTCTCCTCTCCCACTCCCCCTGCTTGTGTTCTCTCTGTCAAATAAATAAATAAAATCTTTAAAAAAAAAAAAATCCTAGAATGTCAAGATGGAAAACACTTCAGATACCTTCTATTGCACCTCATGCTCATGTTGGGTGTAAACTACATATCAGCTTGTTCAGCCTCTTTGAATATTCCCAATAAGGGTAAATATGTTACTTCACAAGATACATTTAGAAAATATGATTATTGAAAATTCTTCTCAATATTAAGCCAAAATCTGACACCACCGATTTTTTGTCTATTACTCCTAAAAGTAAGCTCCAAGGTGAGCAAACTTTTATTTTTAAAACATGTTCCAAAATTTTAGGACAGAGGAAAACAAGCAAAAAAAAAAA